TTTCCCCGGCAAGCGAGAGGACGGCACGACAGGGCAGGGCACGACATTGACAAGGCTCGACAAGGCCTGACACGAGCGACAAGGCCGGAGGTCCGCCAGGATCCAACGTGCTCGACGGGGCCTGCGGGAATTAGATCCACGGCCAGAAGCCTGGAACTTCTTGGGCCTTGGAACAAGTGGAAGAAGCGGCGCCGATGACGAAAGAACGCATCTGAGATTCATCTCGGAGAATGAATCTACGAATACGGAGTATCCTACAGTACAAAGTACAGGCTACTCATGTGAGGACGGAGCATGGTACGGAGTACTGTCTGCAGACCTGTTGCCGTGCTGATCAATCCCCGGCCGCCAGCGGCAGCCAGCCTGTTGGGCGCACGCCGGCGCTCTTTTGGGGGCTGACGGCGCATTTCCACATCTTCTATTCCTGCTTCCTTTTTCTCCGACGCTTTCCAATCAGAGACGCCCAGCCCACGCCTCCCCCGCTGCTCGTCATCTCTCACGTCGATGGGAGATGGATTAGAGATGAGACAGGCCCTGTGGTTGGCATGTTGGTGCCTCGCCATTGGGCCGCCGGCCGGCACTGGTGAGTCTCTGTCTCTCGTCTAATTCTGCCTCAGCCCCGTACGAATACCTAGGTACAAACAAAGGGTGCTCTTGCGATGGAGGGTCGGAAGATGGCCATTGACTGACACACAATGTGCCTAGTGTCTCTTCAGCTCAACGTCTCCGTCCTACGCCCGCACAGAGTTTGTGCCCTGCGTCGGCCTTGCTGCGAATGCAGAGTTCTCGTCAACGATACGTACCGGATGTACCTGACCCTAGTCCCGATGTGCTGCGATGCGATGCTGAGGCGACCGCTCGCCGTTCCGCGGCCCCATGGGATCGCAGCAAATCCGTCGCATCTCATTCGTCGCATCTCGTTCAGACGAAGAATGCCGGGCCCAGATGTGTCTTGTACCTGCGTTTAGGGCTCACGCTGCCGCACCTCTGGTGGAGTGGCGGTCCAATTTTCTTTTTGCCCACTTACAGCGTTGCGCCCATTGGGTATCCTTCCAAAGTACCTTTAGCCGGTTGCTTTGTCATTTTGAGTCCTTTTCTGCCCCGATCAACTTTTTCCCGCTCCTGCTGTTCCCACCACGCGAGCGGCGACGTCAAGAGGGGAAGCGGACGCCAAAGAGTCATTAATTCCACTTGTTGCGGAGTACGGCCCAGATTTCAAACTTCTTCGCAGCAATCAGCACCGAGAAGAAGCAATCTCGTCGAGAACCGGCCGTTACGCCTTGCCGAGTCTTCCCATTCGCAGTTGACTCTAGGATCTTGCTTGGAAAAGCCGCTGTCAGAAGAGGGGCTCATCTGCACAAACCACAAGCAGTCACAGCTCGGGCAACCAAGTGAACAAAAAGTCGGCTTTTGCTGGCAATGACTCGGTGTTATTCTGGGGGTTCGAGGGGATATCCCCGCCATGACCGCACCTTGGACAAAACGTTAAACCCTCGGTGCAGATGGCATCACTGCGTGCCCACGTCTGTCTGCCGTCCGTCCGCCCGCTCTTCTGCGAACCGCTCCCAGGTCCACCCACAACGTGTCAGCCCGCACACATGTTTGACGGGGTTGAAACGAAAAGAAAGGAGGCCAGAAAAAATTCTGCTTCTCCATGTTCTTTCGACAGCACTTGTCAACGGCTCCGATCCTTCTGTTGCCAATTTTGGAAAAAAAGGAAAAGGTTCGCACGGCGCTCCAGCACCAGAGTTTCGTCTTAGTCGCCCGCCCAAAGAGGGTCAAAATCTGGCTAGGCCATTGGCCGTTTGCGGCTTGCGTGCGCACACAACGGGCGAGCGTTGCAACTCACCACAGGTAGCTTGATGCTACCGTCGTCTTCTTTGTCCAGGAACAACTGAAACGGCACGATGGCAAGCAGCGCGCGCCCGCCACGTGGGGATCTACCAGACATGTTGGGCTTCCGGTTAACGGTTCCTGTTTCGTTTCTCCCATTCCGGAAGCATCTTCTACTTCGATAGCTGCTGTCTGGCCGGATCGATGCAACTACACGTGGTCGACAGTTTCTAGATGGCGCCATGTGTATTGGACTTCACTTCTCTGGTTGTGGGATTCAGGCGAGGTCATGCTGTGGCCGCGAGAGAGAGGATGCGCTGGCAACATTTCATTACGTACTGATAGGTGTCTATTTAGATGCCAGCCGTGCAGCCGTCGTCAAGTGATGCTCGGAAGCACATGTCGGCCATCGCGCAGGCAGTTCAAGAACACTTCATCCCGCCATCGCTCGCGGTAACCTGCAGACCCGTCGGGTAGATCCCACGATGGTCCAAGTCCAGCCAGTGCAGTTGTATCGGGGCGCCGGGACGTTGTCCAAGTCTGTGCCTCCTACTCCGCCATAGCACGGTTGTGGCCACCGCCGCCGGCTCGTCATCGGTCACAACCATCGTGGACGGCCAGCACTTGTTTGCCCGAGGCTGGTGCATGCGACCGAGCACATGCGCTCTGTCTCTCGAGGTCGGCGACTCACCGGTGGCCCCCACAGTCGGTCAAGTTCGTCGTAGGTGTTCAAATTTCTCTAGAATCGAGGTCGAGGTCGAGGCCGAAGTCGCCCGACATCTTCCGCCTTTGCTCTTGCGGCGCTGCACAATTCCCGTACGGATATGTGTGTATGGGATATTCTCCGGCTCCCGCGCGGCATCCCAGGGTGCTGCGTGGCAGACCTGGGAATCCGGGGCGAGGCAAATTGACCAAATGCAGCAAAATGGCAACGGCTTCGGGGAGTTGATATTAAGATTTGATGAAGGGGATTGGCCTACCAGGTTCCATCATCGCTTGGAAAGGGGGCTAAAATGCATCCCTTTGCCGTTACATTTCGCTTCCCTTTGTATTTCGCCTACCCCGGTCCGTTGCCAGCGGCACGACCAGCCCCTGCTCCCCCGAGGGAAAGAAAACGTACGGGGCATCTCGCATCAAGTTTCTGCTTTATTACCCGCGAAAGCTGTTAAGGAGGCTGGTGCAAGGTGTACTCCTCCCCTCAGGGGGTCACCGAAGCTTTGGCGCTATCGATTCACCAGTGAAGTCAACCAGGGAGGAGGATATGCAGGGCTGTGGTTGACAGGTTCTAGCTTGCCGTTGCAACTTGCAGCCTTGCAGTCCAAGTGTGGTTTTGCAACGGCCAAGATATGCCTCGAGTCAGTTGCAGGCCGCCCTGCTTGGAGGTAGGAGTACGGCGTCGCCCGGCTGCTGTGCGAATGGGAGATGAGAGTTCATCGTGAATCCGGAACGGGATCGAGAGGCCCAGAAGGGGTATACTGTGGCTGGATATAGCCTGGAACAGGTGGCAGCCCGAACTCAGCACGTCATGATATACGGAGAGTCGGGCCTCTGGTGCTGTTTGCGACGCGCTCTTGATTGGTACCCCGTACCGAAGCTAGAAATGCGATCTTGTCCTGCTGCTTCAGCTGATACTACGTCCATGGTTCCGTGAAGCTCGCAAACATTGATAGCGAAGTGTCTAGACGAGCTCGGTCAGCCTCGGTCGTTCGCGTTTGCAGCATATGTGATGCCGGAGGGATGGGGTGTTGCGTGAACTCATCGAGACTGCCTCAAGGACTGGACATGATGCAGCGCTGAATGAGCTACCCATCCCGCAATGCTGATCATGTGCGAGATCACTGCCCTACAATCTACGATGCCGTCGGCCTTTTTGCGAGTGTCCAGAGAGGAGTGCTTTGCTAGCGGAGCATGGCTGGTAGAGAGATTGTCTCCTTGCAACCCTCCAACCATCATTGACAAGACCTGGCGGAATACGCTTCTCGACAAGCGTTTTGGAAACCTCGCGGTTATGTTCGTAGACTGTTGTTCTGCGTTCAGACTTCAGTTGAAGACATGAGCTCGACTGGCGCATCGACTATTTACTGCAGACCGTCAGTCTCTCCTTTGGGCACTCGTTCGGCCCATCGGCTGGAGATGAAGCTGAGTGCAACTGTGCGCATTACGCCGTGGAAGTCGTGGATCATGTTCTTCTTGCTTCAGCTGGACTGGAGCTTGAATGCTGGGTCGTCTCCTGTACGGCCACTGCGCGTTCAAACACGATTTGTTGTCGACTCGTGCTTTCAAGAGGACCGCAGCTTCAACAAAGGAGCGATCTGTTCAAGTCGAGAAGCTCCCGCCATCGACGGACTGTAATCAGAGGGCTTGGTGAGGCCTGGTAAGATGGATCTTTTGTAGAGTCGCGACTAGGCGATGCGAGGCGTAGGCATCGCAGTGTGGTTCCAGAGGCGCTGTACAATCTCTACAGTTCGTAAGACGAACTCGGGAGGTTGATTTCAAAACCAGATGCAGAGACTGCCAGCACCTTTTGCCTGGATTTCATCATTGTCCAATGAAGATGGTTCCTCGAGGTAAGCGTAGGAGGAAGTTTTGGGGCAGCTCCATGTGCCATGATCAAACGCAATCCTCAAGCAAATCTCGTAAGGCCCGACAATGGGTAGTGAGAAGTGTCCATGGCCCAGGTCCAGATATATGCGATGCACACGTACAGAGAGGGATGGTGAGAACTTGGTGCTTGGGTTGCCCGGAAGGACCGGCCGAGAGACATCGGGGTGATGCCCCAAAAAGCTTGTCTGCGTGCTTTCCCACATTCTGACAGGCACGCTTCCACTGGCATCTGGGGGAAAGCTCGGGTGGCCCCTCTGATCTCCAGCTGATCATTGGGCGACCCCGCAATCGACCAAACATTTCGGCCCAAGCAACGCCGAGCTCTCATCTTTTTTTTCATTCTCTTTGTGAACCATGGTCTAAACGGGCAGCTCAACATGGCATCTTCCCTTGCGCCGGACGCGTGCGGCTCGCAGTTTGATTACACTTGCAAGGACCAGCGGAAGAATTGCGCGACAGTACGGGCGAGGCCACCGCGGTTCCTGCGTTACTCTCACGCGAGGCACGCAGTCTACACAGGAACGGTGACCGGGATACCCCGCAATGAAGTAATGACGGCCAGACCTCGAGCATCTGATTGCTGGAAACTAGAATGAAGAGCTGGTGGTCTGCGCCTGTGGGGAGGGAAGCCATGCAGCTCTTCGTGATGTCGCATTCGGTCCTCATTTCCGCGACTGGGATTGATGGCCGGCTGCCTGTGATTGACAGTGATGGGCTCACGATCGTTTATCAGTCGGTTCGTTCCCGCGTGGTTCGCAGCAGAGCAGATCTAGAATGCAACGCCATTCTCGCTCGATCCGCACATCTACAAATCTGGAACCCGCCAAGGTTGTGCTGTCATGCGTTTTCACCGGGCTTTGACGGCCTTGATCTGGCTGTTTGCATCCGGGGCTTGGGCGACTGACAACGGCCTCACTGACGTGGTGTCGTGGGACAAGTACAGTCTCGTCATTAACGATACCCGGACGTACATCCTGTTCGTGTCATCCCATCAATCGAGTCTGGGGTTAGGTGTTGACTGATGACAGCTCTGCCGAATTTCACTACCAGAGAACGCGTAAGAAACTCCAACCTCTGGTCTCGATTCGCAACTAACCCTTTTCTCCCACGCAGCCGTCCCCGAATTGTGGCCCGTGAGTTAAGCCTGTCGAGGACCTCCCTTTACATACTAAACCTTCGACAAAAAGGATATTCTGCAGAAATTCAAGGCCAATGGCTTCAACACCGTGAGGTGAGTGCCGCCTGTATGCAATCAAGACGCCAGAACGCTCACACTGCCTCTCAGCATCTACTTCTTCTGGTCGTACCACTCGGCTGCCGAGGGCGTCTACGACTTTGAGACGGCGGGCAAGAACATTCAGCGATTATTCGACTACTGCAAAGAGGCTGGGCTCTATGTCATCGCCAGAGCCGGCCCCTACTGCAATGTGAGGATCTAGCATATTCGACCATGTCAAGAGGCTAACACGTCCAGGCCGAAACCAACGGCGGCGGCCTCGCTCTCTGGGGCTCTGACGGTCGCTTCGGCAAAATCAGAACCTCTGACGAGCGGTACCAGGCCGGGTGGCTCCCCTTCATCACGCAAGTGGGCAAGATTATCGCCGCGAACCAAATCACAAACGGCGGCGTAGGTGCCTTCGTCCCCGTTCATCTGCAGCCCGCTGACAAGCCCAGCCCGTTATTTTGAACCAAGTCGAGAACGAGTACCAGGAGAGTGTCTACTCCCCCGACCACACCTCGGTCATCTACATGGAACAGCTGAAAAAGGCGTTCCACGACGCCGGCATCGTAGTCCCGCTGACGCACAACGAAAAGGGCATGCGATCGCGGTCGTGGTCCACAGACTACAACAACGTCGGCGGCGCCGTCAACGTCTACGGACTCGACAGCTACCCAGGCGCCCTCTCCTGCACCGACCCGACGGTTGGCTTCAACGTCGTCCGGACCTACTTTCAGTGGTTCTCCAACTACTCCTTCACGCAGCCGAGCTACCTCGCCGAGTTTGAGGGCGGTTGGTTTTCCAACTGGGGAAGCCCGACTTTCTATGACCAGGTGCGTGTGCTCTGAAATGTTGGCGGGTTGTGAGCTGACATGCACAACAGTGTGCCTCGGAGCACGACCCGGCCTTTGCGGACGTTTACTACAAGAACAACATCGGCCAGCGCGTGACCCTGCTGAGCATCTACATGAGCTACGGCGGAACGAACTGGGGACACTGTGAGTACTACGCGGATACAAGCACTGCAGAGACTAACAAGAGCAGCCGCCGCACCTCAGGTCTACACGAGTTACGACTACAGCGCCCCTCTCCGCGAGACCCGCGAGCAGTGGACCAAGCTCTTCCAGACGAAGCTCATTGGCCTCTTCACCAGAGTTTCGTCGGATCTGCTCAAGGTTGAGATGATTGGGAACGGAACTGGCTACAGTGTAAGTCGCGCGGACTCTCCATAATATTCCTGCTAACGCCCCTAGCTTTCTTCATCCTCGGCCTTTAGCTGGGTTCTCCGTAATCCTGATACCCAGGCTGGCTTTACCGTCGTGCAGCAAGCCAGCACCAAGTCCATGACCCCCATCCAATTCGATGTCACCCTCAACACGACAGGCGGACCCGTTACCGTCCCGAACGTTGTACTCAACGGTCGCCAGAGCAAGATTCTCGTCACGGATTACGCCTTTGGCAAGCACACTCTGCTGTACGCCTCGGCGGACATTGCTACCTATGGCCTCTTTGACACTGAGGTGCTCGTCTTCTACCTCCAAGAGGGCCAGACAGGAGAGTTCGCCTTCAAGGACGCAAGCGACCTCACATTTGAGGTGTTTGGCGACACGGACTTGCAGGAGACGACAAACGGTAACCATTCGGCTTTTACGTGGAAGCAGGTCGCCGGTTCCACGGTGGTCAAATTCTCCAACGGCGCTCTCGTCTACCTGCTTGAGCAAAAGTCGGCGTGGCGTTTCTGGGCGCCCCCGACAACGTCAAACCCTACTGTGAAGCCCGACGAGCAGCTCTTCATCCAGGGCCCCTACCTCGTCAGAAGCGCCAGCATCTCTCACGGCGTCCTCCACGTCTCTGGTGACAGCGACAAGGCCACAACGATTGAGGCCTACGTCGGCGATAAGCCCATCGAAACCATTGACTGGAATGGCCTGCGCTTGGCCGCCACAAAGACTGCGTACGGTTCCTTCACTGCTCAGATTCCCGGTGCCGAGGACCGTGCTGTGACCCTCCCCGAGCTGTCAAACTGGCGCGCGGCCGAAGCCCTTCCCGAAGCGGCGCCCGACTACGACGATTCCCGATGGACCGTCTGCAACAAGACGACGACGCCTAGCCCGTACGCCCCAGTCACGCTACCGGTGCTCTACAGCTCCGATTATGGCTTCTACTCGGGTGCCAAGATCTACCGCGGTTACTTTGACGGCGCCAACGCCACCTCGGTCAATATCACGGCCTCGGGCGGTTTGGCGTTCGGATGGTCGGCTTGGGTGAATGGGAAGTTCCTCGGCGGCGATGTTGGGTCCGCTTCCGCAACGACAACCAACAAGACCCTCACGTTCCCTCGGTCCGCGTTGGTTGAGAAAAACAACGTCGTCACGGTTGTGGTCGACTACCATGGCCACGACCAGGCCTCGACAGCCCAGGGTATCAATAACCCACGCGGCATCCTCGGCGCCCAGTTGCAGCCCGGCAGCACACGCACCAACACGGGCTTCAAGCTGTGGAAGTTGGCGGGCGCAGCCGGCGGCGAGGCCAACATCGATCCCGTCCGCGGACCCATGAACGAGGGCGGCCTCTACCCGGAGCGCCTGGGCTGGCACCTGCCCGGCTTTGCGCCCACCGGCTCCTCTTGGAAGCCCGAGTCCCCGCTCGTCGGTCTCTCCGGCGCGGGCATCCGCTTCTACGTCACGGATTTCACGCTCAACATCGACTCGGACCTGGACGCGCCGCTGGGCATCGAGTTCTCCGCGCCCGCAGGAACGACGGCACGCGTCATGTTCTGGATCAACGGGTACCAGTATGGCAAATACGTCCCGCACATTGGCCCGCAGACACGGTTCCCTGTGCCACCGGGCGTGCTCAACAACCGCGGCCGCAACACCCTGGCCGTCAGCCTGTGGGCGCAGACCGACGCGGGTGCCAAGTTGGACGGGCTGAAGCTGGTGCGATACGGGCAGTACCAGACGGATTTCAAGTTCAACCGCGACTGGAGCTACCTCCAGCCCGGGTGGAAGGACAGGCAGGAGTATGCTTAGTTTAATGCATCACGGGCAACGTCGGCCGGCGTGAGTAGATATTTAGTTGTACATAATATACACGTCAGCGAATTACCTATTCGGATTTATTCAACTTCTTTCTGGCGATATGAGCCTTTAATATCCGCGTCCACTCTGCAGCGTGCCGCTCCCAGTAGGCTGCCCACTTCTCGTCCGAGGCGCAAATCTTGCGCCATTTCTCGCAATAGTCCACCAGCTTCTGGTACGAACCGGGGATGCCCGCCCCGGCCGCCATGAACAGCCACGCCCCTACGCCCTTGTCGTCCGGGCACATGTCAGCCAGGCGCGACCACCCCCGCGCGTAGCCCAGCTTGCCCAGATGTTGAAACGTGTCCTTGGCTTTATCCTTCTCGCCGAGCCGCAGGTACGCGTCGCCCTGGCCCTCGAGCGCGGAGCACATCCAGTCAAAGTAGGCGGCGTCCTTGCCGAGCGCGAGGGCCTGCGTGAAGGCCTCGAGGGCGAGGTAGTCGTCGCGCTCCGTCTTGCGGTGGAGGTGGCGGAGGCCGGCGACGACCATGGCGTTCGCGTCGCGGCCCTCTGCGATGAGGGCCAGGCACCGCGTGCGGGTGTGCCGCCAGCGCGGGTTGTCCCAGTCGTAGTAGTTCTTCTTGCCCTCGGCGAGGTAGAGGTGGCGGCCGAGGGTCAGGGCGGCCGGGTCGTAGCCGAGGCCGGCGGCCGTCTCCATCATGCTGAACTGCAGGATGACTTCGGACTCGACGTTGGTGTTTGTGAAGTAGAGGAGGCCGGCGGTCTGGTGGAGTTCGCCCGCCGTGATGTTGTTTTCTGCGGGGTTCGTTAGCGTTTGTGCGTGAGGTGGTGAACGGGTAAGGGAAGGGTTTGCGAACCTTTGACGAATGCCTTTTGCCAGTCTTGTGGTTTATCGGACCGGGCGAGGGCTTTCATGTACTTCATGTAGACGTCGTGGGCCCGTTCCGCCGTGACGCTCATGTAGCGGATCTCGCGGAGCAGAATCTTGAACTCGGTGAGAGACCGGGGCTCGAAGACGACGTCCCGGGGTTTCGGCTTCTCCTCTCTGGCGCTCGACTTTTTGAGGCCCGGGAGGGGCCGGAGTTTGCTCTTTGTCTTTAGCGTCCTCGTTGTCGTCGTCGACATCGTTGTCGGTGGTGGTGGTGACGGTGCCGCAAGGGCCCATGGTAATGATGACGGCGTGGAGAGGCCGGCTAGGAGATGTCTTCTGACGCCGCTGATGCGGGTGGGATTTGTCACGAGGCGGAACATGGTTGGCGATGGTGTAGGGGAGGTGAGTATGAGATGAGATGAGATGTGGCGCGATCGCCGGTGATTTATCGGTTATCGAAGTGCGACCCAGTGCGCGTTTTGAATTCCATAAATACAGCCTTAATGATTTCTACAAGCTGAAAAGTCGCCTGCACTTTCTTTTTGGAGACACTTGACGACGTCGTGAATTGAAGCTGGCGATGTTGAGTGAGAAGGTGAGAGTGAAGCTCCGGGGAAGCTCGAGTGAGGTCCGCGGCAGTGAAGTGGGTCTACGACGACCAACCAATCGAACCCTATCTGCTTGACGGCAGTCTCCACCTCGAAAAAAAAAAGTTGCGACTACACCTTTTCGCGACGACATTTCATCGACATTTCTGTCTTCACTCATCACCTCACTGACAAAAGTTCACATCCCGACTCACCCACAATTAGTTGCATTCTTGAAGGAGTATATCTTGAATCACATTGACTGCGAACGACATCGTCTGTGTAATAAACGACGCATCAAGCGCTGAATTCAACGGCGGATTCACGGCCAGCCGCTCAGAACGAGCAACCGCCCTCGACATATTCAAGGGTTCACATTCACAATGGTCACCACACGGAACGGGAAGCGCACAGCCGCCGAGGCGCCCGCCGCAGCTGCGACCACCAAGAAGCAGAAGCTCCCGGTGCGGGCAAAGGAGGGCAAGCCGGCCGCCAACAAGAAGGATGAGACCAGCCGATCGTCATCATCAAAAAAGAGGGCCTCCTTTGTCGTTGAGCTGAAATCGGAAGCGGGCGCGGCTGCGGGCGCGCAGGACGTCAAGGAGAAGCAGATCATCACAGGCGCCGAGCAACCCGCGCCCAGGACGGACACTGATGAGATTGGGGATTCTGATGCCTCGCCCGAGTCGGTCGGCGACGAAGCGCACGAGGCTGCGGAACAGCTTGCGGCGGAGGCCAAGACGGCGCTCGTTGCCGAGGGAGGCGACGACGACGATTCCGACTCGGATGCGGCGCCTGAGGCTGTTTCTACGTCCAAGGCCGCCGTGCAGGCCAAGAAGTCTGCGCAGGCTGCCAACAAGGCCATTGCAGAGTGAGTATTGCTGTCTTGTGTGAGTTGTTTTCCAGGGATTCTAATCAAAGCGCAGACAACAAGCCAACCAGAAGCGCAAGCGCCAGGAGCGCAACGCCAGGCTCCAGGAACAGGCCGCGGCGCGCAAGGCTCAAGAGGACGCGGCACCGGCGAAGAAGTCGAGTGACGAGGCGGAGGAAGAGAGCGAGAAAAAGACGGAGACTCTGGCGCGGGAACCCACCACCACAGGACGCCGGAAGAGGCTGGATCTCCCTTCGGAGCTCCCGGCCGAATTCCTCGAGTCCGACTCTGAAGACGACGGCGAGAGCGAGGACGGGGCGGGGGATCGCAAGCCCCGCAAGGCACGGAAGCTCGAGACGGCGGAGGCACAGCTCCTGCGCGAGGCCCGCGCGCCCAGGGACGAGGTCGTCGGCACGACCGTGTTCCGGACCGTCAAGAAGGAGGACGAGAGGCTGGCGCCCAAGGCGCAGAAGTATTCTGTCAATGCCAAGAAGGCGTTGCTGGCCCGCGGTAGGGCGCCGGTGAAGGCGCGCAGGGGGTTTTTGGTTTAGGATGTTGTAGCGAATGGGGGCTGAGAGGTACTGCTTAATTATTGGATGTCTAGGGATATGCCCCGGGGTCAACGGATGATATACAAAAGTTTTTGGGTTTGCGGTTCATCAAGCGGAGTCTTTTTGCACGTCTGTCCAAGTGAAGTTGCTTAATCGGCTCTAGGCTTCGGGATCCGGCTCCGAACAACTGCCTCTTAGAAACGGTGTCTCCGCTTTGGCCATCGGTCCAGACGCCACAAAAGCTTAGCCCGGTCACATCGATTATCAGGGTTCTTTGTAAAGGATCTTATCATAACTCCACCCTACGACTCAAAGCATGACCATCAGGAAAGCTGCAGAGACGGTGGCATTGCAGAGGAGGTAGACAGCTGGGATTGGACCATGTGCCATAGTGGGCTACCATTGCGCCATTGTCGCAACCCAACCAACGGCGCGGATGTTGGCCGAAACGGGGAAACGAGCTGTAAAATGCCGGGACTGATGCGATCGGTCATGTTGCGAGTGCCGACAACTCTGCGACCTCGCAGCAGGCTCAGGCCCCCGGCCATAAGAAGGATTTTTTGGTGATGGGCTCGGATCTGAACTTGAATTGCTCTCCCTAGTCAGTGCTTCAGACACTGGCGATGGCTTCACTCGAGGAAAAGTCGCCTCCCGTCGCGGCCGCAGACCCAGCAGACACTCACGATGAAAGCCAGACATCCCGTGACGGCCCGTGGATTTGCTTCATGACGGCGATCCGCTGGCACTCCAAAGACACGCCCAGCGCAGAAAAAAGACTCGTCCTCCGTCTGGACCTGTTGATCCTCGTGTTTGGCTGTCTCTGCTTCTTCACAAAGTACCTCGACCAGTCCTCCCTCACCAACGCCTACGTCAGGTAACCTCTTCACCCCGCATCGCACCCCCTTCCCAATACCCCAAGACTAACAAATTCACAGCGGCATGAAGGAGGACCTCAACCTCCAAGGAAACGAGCTCAACTACATGACCATCGTCTTCTGGTCCTCCTACTGCACCTCCATGATCCCCGCCTGCTACTACCTCACCCGCCACCCCATCAACATCGTCCTCCCCGTCCTCGAGATCGGTTGGGGTCTCTCCACCCTCGGCCTCGCCTGGGCGCGCAACGTGCAGACAGTCTACGCCATGCGCTTCTTCACCGGCCTCTTCGAGTCCTCCTCCTTCACCGGCATCATCTACGTCATCGGGTCCTGGTACAAGCCCGCCGAGATCGGCCGCCGCGTCGCCCTCTTCTACGTCGCCGCGCCCCTCGGCACAATGTTCGCCGGCTACCTCCAGGCCGCCGCCTACACCAACCTCCACGGCGCCCACGGCCTCGCCGGCTGGCGCTGGCTCTTCGTCGTCGACGCCGTCATCACCATCCCCGTCGCCCTCGTCGGCTTCTTCGTCTTCCCGGACGTCCCCGCGCGCTCGCGGCCGAGGCTGCTCCCGCCGCGCCTCTACGCCCTCGCGCGCGACCGCCTCCGGGGCCTGACGGCGCCGCCGCGGCTCAAGGTCTCGCGGGACATTTTCGGGCGCGTGTTCCGCCGCTGGCACTGGTACCTCTTCGTCGCGCAGTGGACCATCATGAACGAGAACCTTCAGCCCAGCGGGTCCCCCTTCTCCCTCTACCTCAAGGCCTTCCCCGCGACATACTCCGTGACGCGGATCAACACCCTGCCCACCGTCGCGACCGCCATCTCCGTCGTCTCGGCCTTTGCCGCGGGCGCCGTGGCCGATCGCACGGGCTGGTTCGCGGGGTTATCCGTCGCCGCCACCGTACCATCGCTGGTTGGCGTGATCCTGCTCGTGGCGTGGGACGTCGGCGAGCGCGGTCGCCTGGCGGCGTTTATGCTCAACGGGTTCGAGGGCGCGATCCCCTCGCTGACGATGGCGTGGGCTACGATAACCATGGCCGGGGACGCCGAGGAGCGCGCCATTGTGACGGCGTCGATGAATGCCATTGGGCAGGCCATTGTTGCCTGGGCGCAGCTGCTGCAGTTTCCTGCTGTTGAGGCGCCGTACTTTCGGCGTGGGTTCAGGAGTGTTGTGGCGACGATGGTGGTGCAGTTCTTCATTACTGGTGCGATTTGGTTCTTGGTCAGGAGGGATCGGAGGAAGCAGGAGGACGCGGTGGAAGATACTGGAGAGCCGATTCAGGAGGCAAAGCAAGGGGTCTAGGAAAGGGAACACTGGTAAACGACTTGCTGGAATAGGGATCTGGTGTACGTTACTCGGAATTGATCTCTAACTACGCATCACGGTATCGTGCTTTAACACCGACGCGACCGAGTCTTCTTCTTGGGAGGAGACTCGATAATCTCCAGGTCCGAGTCAGGCTCCTCGATGGCTCGCTTCTTCTCCTTCTTCCATTCCTTCATCTTGGCCTCTATGGCCTGCAGACAAGCCTCCTTCAGTTCCTCTCGATTCAGCCCGCCCACATCATCATGCTCATCTTCCCACCACTTGCGAAGCGTATCGCTCCAGGCCTCTCGGGACGTATGCTGGGTCTTGTGTCCGCTCCTCTCCATCCAGTCCTTGATGCGCTCCACCACCATTTCAAATTGCGAACATCGGGGCGCCAGTCTCTCAATCTGCTTCTCCAGCTCAGCCATCTCCTCGATGCGCATCTTGTCCCCCGCAAAGCTCTCCGTCACCGCATTGCAGCCATCAAAAGCGCTTCGAAGAGAGAAGCTAACGCCGTCTTTATCGACCTTAGACGCCCAGCAGACGGCCATGTCGTAGGCCTGGAGCAGTCCAAGCCGGGAGAAGCGCAGCATGGACGTCGCCTTAGTCAGGCCAAGTACCAGCGTATGAACAGGCTCGCCGTCGGGTCGCTCTCGCTGGGTAAGGCTGATGGTGACATGTGGGTGGATGTAGTTTGCCAGAGGAAGTCGCTTGCCTGAATTTCCGTTCGAGTTGTTGTCCTCCAGATCGTCAATCACATGAGCTTTGAGTCGAGCAATCGGAGGTACGGGAACCTCAAAAGGGTATCCACCGACACACTCTCTGTCTGGACATAGCGCCGCCCAGATTCGCTGGCGAACTCTGAGAGGTATTGATGAAGATGTCGGAAATCTTTCATTGACGCGAGGCTCTGGGGTGGCTGCCGGACGCTTGCGCTTCGGTGACGCTCGCTTCGTCTGTGATCCCTCAGTAGGCGGCAGTGCAGGAATTATCACCACCCCCTCGGCGCGAGACTCCGGAGAAGTAAGCAGACGTGTGTCGCTGTCTGATGATGAATCTTGCTTGGGCAGGGGCTGTCGCTTCGGTGTCTTGGGCGTACTGGGCGGTGACTCTCTCTTTGGTGGCGACTGCCTGGGTGCCTGTTCTTGCGGCGGTAGAGACTGAGATTGACCTGCTGCCCGACTGGCTGCTTGATCTCTGAGTTCCCTGAGCAAAGCCACATCATCCACTCCGCCAGGCTTGTCGTGAAGAAGGAAGTCGCCGAATTCTCGAGCCCATGCGGTGCTTTCCTTCGCAAAAACCGCTGGATATGTGCTCACGGCCCCGAGTACTCTCAGTCTCCGTCCCGTCAGACTATCCTCGTATTTTCCTTCACTCCTCTGCCTCATAATCATCTCGAATGCCAAGGTGTACTCGGAATTGTGCTTCTGACCGTTCTCCCACTTGTTGGACTTAGATATATATGCGCGGCCCACTAGGTTTGTTACATCGTGACTCTTACTCGGCCAATCGTAGACAGTAAAATTGATGTGCCGCTTGATTTCAAGAAGAGATTCAGTCAACTTGTCAGACAAATGAATAGCTGCAACGACTTCGTTGAGATCGTACGGGGCCCCGTCCTTGGGAAGTCGACTTTTCAGACTTTTGGTGAATGAACGAGACCAGGGATAGCCACATCCGTCATCTGGAAACCCCAAGACGAGAATCCAGACATCAACTGCCGTGTAAATGAGAGGCATATGGCGACGCCGCCGAACGAGCCATTCCATATGGTGTTGTAGTAGCTCGTGACCACCGGCAGGCAGTAGCTTGCAGTCGTCATAGCAATGGCTGGTAGTGTTGCACATTGGGCACCCTTTGACAAAACCATATTTGAGGGCTTGAGAACCCAAGTAATAACAATCTGCCAACTCGTGGCCCGGTTTCTTGCATCTGCCACAAGAGATGCTCGACTTGCTCTCGTCACCATGGCCAGCAACGTCGGGGTGCTCGCTATCGGAAGACATCGTTGCGATCTGAAGTAAAAGTTAGCAATCCTCTCACAAATCGAAAACTGTCATAAATATGTAGAGGGGAACTCAGCTTACCTGATCTAGAAGGCCCAGCCTTCCAAGTGAAGTCTGCGATTCAGTCGCCAAGGAGACAGAGGTAATTGAAGTGGCGGCGTCGACGTGATGAAATCAGGGCAGAGATGTAGGATTGAGGACCGGAAGTGAGAGGGAGAAATTGTTGTTTTGCGTGAAGGTCTTCCTGAGAAGTGAAAATTTGAAAAAGGTGAAAGGTGAAAGGTGCAGAGGTAGAAGGGCAGGCCTCTGACGACTCACGAAAAGGAAGGAGCGACCCTCAGCTTCCTTCCTTCCAAGAAGGTGGACTTCACTTTGCATGGTAAACAATCCATTACACTATTGCCTCCCATGAAATGAAAGCTAGAAAGTGAGCCATCAGCTTGGAGTCTCGCCCATCCTCTCTTCTCTCACCCTTTCTCTCTTTTCACCCTCTCTTATCTGGACCAAGTCGACCATCAAGTGAAGGAAAACAGGTAAGTATTTCCTCTTCGCCGAATCTGACAAAAGGTGCATGAGAGGACCTCGACGATGCTAGTGACTTCCATGTTCAGGGCAGATTACTCCTTCATACTACCCTTCTTTGTTCTCGACCATTGTTGAGGCTCGTCAACTTCCCAATCCAGGTATCACAGCATTCAGCTTGGAGAAAGGCCGTTACGTGAGAGCAGCTCATGGCTGCCAATAGACACGCTCTAATTCAAAATGACATCTAGGCTCATACTGTAGTATCGAGCTGCCCATTTGCGTCTAACAGCAGTTGTTGCTTGAGGTTAGGCACTCTGCCCGCTTCGTGTTGTTGACACGATACCGAAATCTATTGAGGACAGCTGTTATCTATTCAGGAACAAGACGAGAAAAACCGAGTTAGACCTGGACATAATTTCCACAGCATCAAAGTGCTTGACAAACCTTTTCAAGTAAATATCATCCTGAATAGATCCCATCACATGCTCATGAATGGACTAGGCAGACAAGTAGTCTCTTTCTCATTCACAGCAAAGGTGGAGGAGGTCTGCGAGGAAAAGAAGAAATCGGTTTACACTTTCACCGTCACACCTGCGGTCACTGACCGTCGTCATCTCACTCGTATCGCACCCCATAGCTCCCAAACACCGCAAAACTCATCCTCAACCCCCTGCAGCTCAAAACAAACAAACATCACCAAAAATGACAAGAAACACAAAAAGAATGCGTGAGGCATTGAACCACACCCGATTTGAACGGATAACCTTTCGATTGAGCCATTGCTGGAGTCGAACGCGCTACCGTTGCGCCAGCGGTCCTATTGGATGAATGGGAGGGTGTTGTCTGAACCTAAGACCCGAGCCCTCCATCCGACAGCCCGCATGATTGGCTGCGCTGGAATAAGTGCCCCCACACCACCTTGCTTTAAGCATTGCGGAATGGGCCGACGCATGTTCTCACTTCAGCGCTCACACAAATCCGGGCCCTCCCACACAGTCCAGTCTGAGAAGGAGAGTCATGATGCTGCAGGAACCGCACCACCGCCAACATGACTTCCAGAGCGGAGCAAGGTGGGCTCGTGACGACCCTCCCTCGCCCCGTGAGAACCAAGAAATCAAGGACACCACATGCTGAACGTGTGTCTCGTCATGCGAGACAAGCGCGCTTGCCATCCCCAGACGCCCAGAGGGGCTCTATAGGAAACGTCTGGAGTACTGGACTCTGGCCCTCTTGCCCATCCTGTGATGGTAGAACGTACCGAGAACCGTAGATCAGCATTTTTTGGTGATCTAAAACCGGGGAGCCGCGAGTCTACGACGGCAGCCCCAATGCGACAGACCTTGCGGACCCTGACCGCGCACCAGAGTGTGAGAGAGAACGAGACCTCTACGCCGAAGCCGGGTCACGGCGTTAAGTGAGTGGAGACGCTTTCTGCGGCAGGCGGGGGAGGTTGTTGCAACAGGACTGGGTCTTAATGGTCCTCTGATAACACCCATCCAAACGCTTCCGAGGGTCGACGCCGCTCGCTGCCCCTCGTTTTCTCTTCTCTTTTCGCATGCATCCGGTACGTACGGTGACATCGGTCTGTGGCCCTGTACTGTGAACGGGAGTGAGTGAGAGAGCACAGACTTTTGAAACAAAAACTCCTTCTTCACCTTCTGTATCCGTCCCATGTGGGAATGAATTGGCCGCCGCGATAAGAGGATTCGCCGCTTGTGGCGCCCTGCTCGTGTCTGTGAGCTTTGAGTTTGACAAGTTTGACAGAACCCGTACAGCGGGCTGCGCGGCCGTCCAGAAGCAGCCCGCTCGTCTGTGCGACAAGGTTACCTGATCAGCATGTCGTCTGATCCAAGAGGCGCCATCATTGACCTGCCTGACACAGCGGATCTCCCAAACGCGCGCAACAATATGGGATGCCTCAACCATCGAGCATACTTGCGTACCTACTTGCGTACCCCGCCCTTGAACGAGACGGCCCTGGGCCAACAGAAGCGTAGTAAGGCAGAACCTCGGCGCGGATGATGGATCTGCGCTGGGGGATTGGTCTGAGGCGTGGTTTCCCCGACACCAGGATGGGCCGTCTTGGACATGTTTGAAAATAAGTGTGAAACACTCCAATCGTGTGGGACGCGATCAAGATCCAACGCTGGACTGCATGAGCCCTGGCCGAGTCGTCGATTTGGAATGGACAACTTGTTTCGCCGCTCACTCGCCATCATCCGACCAAGGCAGGCCGCAGAGGATGAAGCCGTATCTGCAGACCCGAAGCCCCCTTCTCACCAGTCCCAAGTCGGAGTGTGATGATCCTCCAGGTTGGACGGAGATCGGCTTGAGGTCGATCTCACACGATGCCGCCGAATCGCTCCCGGAATCCCGCTGAGTGCCGTCTTCTCATCCGATGCTGTCCGTCTCAAGAAGCCACCGCGTCACCCCGTTTGCCAACTTACTTTGTTGGCAACATACTGCATCTGCCTTCCTCAAACGGACGAGCAGGATACATCTTGTGGTCGTTCGGCTTTTCCGATAAGCTTGGCCATTGTGGTGTGGATGGCCGAGTCAGCCAACAAGACTTGTTCCACGGACAATTGCACGCTGTGGTTGCATGGGACCCGCTTCGTCCCATTTCTGCACTGGTCTCTGGTAGATTCTGCGGGTTGAGCCTTTTCGGATCCGAACTGTGAATGAACAGAACACTGCATGAAGAGCGCTCAATTGCCCGTTTGATCGACACCCGCAGCGGAAGACGCAAGACTGACTCAACGGTAGTGCAAGGACGAGAAACCACGTGTAGACTAGGCAAAATGTTAATTGAGGTCGCGAGCCGTTGATGAGGAGACGTGGCTGCGGACAAGACAACGCTAGAGCGGTAATGGGCGTTCTTCTAGAACTATATCGGCAGATGCTCCGGACCTGTCCGTGGTAGGCTGGCGATCGACATCACCAACGCACGCCTCGTCAACGACGGACCGGTGACGAGGCGGCAGTAGTCCGATGGCTTGTCGCTTGACAGTCTGCCAACGACCATACAGACCGCGTTGCGCCGTTCAGGCCAGTGAGCTATTCAACTAGCCACATGAGCTTCTCGTGTTTGAGGCAACGTTGAGAACGCCATCGGCCGACGTCGTCACACGTCGTGAAGCCAGCAACTGGCAATACGAGCCAACCCCGGCCTGTCCACCTTGGGCATGAGTGTTTGAGGATGGCACTGACGCTGAGCAGAATTTCCAAGACCGCGGTTGAGGATGCCTGGCCCGCCTGGCCAGCTATTGAAACCTCCTTCATAGAATCTGTCCTTGTGAGAACGACCCGATGATGTGTCGCAAGCATGTTGGCAATTCACATCTCAGGATCGGTCTGGCTTTTTTCGAGCCCGACGCTAGCGCGTTCTGGACCGTCTGATGTCTCCGATGAGATGTCGTTATTCCCTTTCCAAGTCGACCCGAATGTCTGATAAGCTCTAGAAGTTGACTGGCGTTCGCGAAGCATGTTCGGGGGGCTTGCAGCGCGGAGACGAGCCGCAGGAATGGTGAGACGCGAATCAGTCTTGGCTCCGTCCCAAAACATGGCAATCCAAGCTCCAGTTTTTCCATCATGTCTCCTGCACGCCACATATCCCGGGGTACCTCTCATCGCAGAGGCGTCTGTTTGCATTGCCGATGTCTCGCGGATAAATAGATGCGCAAGTCAGTTCTGTAAGAGTCTAGGAAAGGTAGACTAGGCACTTTGCTATAGCCGGCAGTCCAACCAGAGCTGTCATGACTTGAGCCGGCAGATTCGAGACTGAAGTTGAATGTAGTCGACAATCTGCATAGGGACCGCATGGTTGCAGCCACACGCACCTACCGAGAGGGCCCGTGCGAGACCGGTCTTCAACGAAAGAGTTGGAACTGCAGCTCGGTTGAGTTGGGTTGTGATCTGCAGGCTCGACACGGTGCAAAGTCAGTCACCGCACACTTCAATAACTGCAACCTTCAACGACGATTACAATACCCGGCAGTCACCGCCCTTTTGGCGAAACCTGGGCCAGGCCTGGGGCGGCTATCGCCTATTCTCCGTAGGCCTCCTAGCGATGCCTTCACAAAACGCCTAGAGACGGCATTTTGAACCAGGCCGCACGTGGCGCAGGGGGTAAAAATTGGACCTGGCTGAGCACTCGCCGCGCAGCTCACGTCAATCGTTACTCGACTGAGCAATCACGTCGCCAGACCTGGGGATATCTTCAATCCTTTGCGTGAGTGAGACACACCAGGGGTTGCACCCTGGCCCGAATGCACCGTCCCGCCAGCGAAACGCACCGTGGCTGGAGTCTTGGACGGGACGCTTGAACAAACCAGCCGAGCCGTTTGTACGCCCTGAAAGTGGACGTCGGGCATCCGGGCGAATGGGTCTCGCGGCACGCCCGGCCGCTTCACGGCAAGACAGGGGCCCGATCTGGCTCTCGATGGTGATGTGCTGAGCTGGCAGGGCATCGAAAC